CGGGGGAGGACCCCCCCGCCAGCCAATCCCACTGACCGAGGCGGGGAGGGTTCCTTCTGGAAGTGGTGCAGCCATTTTTGCTGGAGGCCCCACTCACCGGCTAGCACTCTCAGGGAGGGCACTGTTGCTTCTGCCTGCCCCCCTGCCTGCTGGCTAAACAGGGAATGTGGCCTGACAGGGGGTGTACTGGTGCTTTCAGGGGGTGCACGTGCACTCCCATGCACCCCCTATGCATCACCCCTGTTTGTAATGAAAAATCTGAATTTAATAATTTTCTATCCAAAGGAAGAATGAGAGAGAGAGAGAAAGAGTCATATACTGCTCTCAGTTATACTGGCATGGATGAAAGGTGATACACTACTGAAGTATTTTGCTGGTTATTACTTTTGTATGTTTGGTCTGTGATGACTTTTTAAGAATTTGTGAAGGCTGCCAAGGATATGGGATGTACAATTTTAATTTACTATAATACAATTCAGAACAAACTAGTTAACATTTGAAATACACTGGACTACACCAACATAAGGGCCCAATCCCACGACTAACAAACTGAAAGGGATTTTTTCCATTGACTTTGGTTGGGTTAGGCCCTAATGATAGTTTGATCCTTAAAATGAGAATTCTTTGACACTTCTTAATCTGGACATTTAAATGTGGTATTTAATTACTTAGTCATTAAAACCGATCAAGATTTTTTCAATACATGTTTTTTTGAAATCCCCATTTTCCAAAAGTTTTCCTGCAAAAAAAACATGCACTTCTCAAAAAATTCAAAAGACAAATGTTTCAGTTGAAAACCAGATGTTTTGATTCACATGGGCCTACAATATTACTTGGGAGTTATACTTCAGCCTAAAGGGCTCTCTATATAACCAGGCCTCCCCTTATGCACTATGGACAATTATTCCTATATTTGTCCACTTCTGTCACTAAAAGGGGAGGAAGTTGCACATTATGGAGAGATGGAGTCACGCCAGAGAGCTGAGACCACAGAGAAGAATGAGAATGTAAGAGACACAGAACAACTCCCGTGGGGCAAGCAATACCAGCCAGAATTGAAGGCAAGGTTCTATTTCACTATAGCTTTGACAACTTTTTAAAAATTTTCAACAGAAAAACACCCTGAATTTTCTGGCCAGCTTTATAGCTTTCCTTCATGTAACCCTATGCACACAACAGTAACTCACATTTTCCTTCCTGAAACTTGCTAGTTAATTTCACAGCTAGTTAGACACTGTGCTCTAAGTTTAAGCTTTCTTTCACACTAAGACTAAGTACAGACAGTCAAAAAGCCTGAGAGGGAATCGATCCAATCTTTGCAGATTTCTATAAACTGTGTAGATTACATTGTTAACAAACAGAACTCATGTTCACTCTTTGGTAGGGGAAGACAAGCAGGCTGAGGCCATAAAGCAGAGGGCATTTTTGCATGCCTCCCAGCATGCTGGGCATTACTGAGGAAAAAACAAAACATTACTTTGATAGGCTCACTTCTCTTCCTTTGCCCAAAGTAACTCAAGGCACTGCTCTCTGTTTATACAGCTGCACCCTGATGTTTCCCAAAACAAGCTGTTACACTTTCTTGTATCTAAGTTCTTCACTGTTCCTGGAGAGGCGGGGAGAGAAACAAGGTTTATACCTCACTTTCCAATCACAAATTCTCTGCCACTGCCTGAGCAGATGTCCAATAACATACCTTGTCTCTTTCTGTGCCACCTCCTGCCTCTATTCTCCAGTGCACGCAGGGTCCCAGAGTATCTGTCTCAAATTCCTCTAATTGTCCCTGATTTCTCTAAAGCTGCACTGCCTAGATAACACTCTGCCTTGCCATAACCTGCACCTGTAACCTTCACCTTACAAACCACACAGAAAACAAAGCTGCTCTTGTCCTTTCTTCACAGAAGACTGTAACTATTCCCAATGATCCTAGAGTCAAAGGACCCTGTTCATTCACACAGCCTTTGCACTAGAGAGATAACTTTCTCTGCTTTCTAGCTTCCTACTTCAAACAAAACAATAGGTTCTTACTTAATCCCAAATGGACCACAGCATGGATACATGTCCACTACTCTACCTAACCTAGACAAACAAAGTCTCCTGGTCAGCAGTAACAAACAATATCTCCTGCACAACACTTACAACCCTAGTCACAATTATCAAACAGCTCTCCCTTACCACAAATCTCAGCTAACCCCTCTAGAAAGGGTCACTCTGCATCAACAAATTCCCTGATCAGTCAGGTTACTGCCTTTGTGTCCCAGTGGAGTCACCAATTGTTGGCACTGGATTTGGACCCAGACCCTATACCATTGTTTTTGGTGAGCACAACCCTCAGACCGGCCACAACACCTGCCAGTTGATAATAAGTGAGTTTATTGATACAGAGTGATAACAAAAAAGCAACAATACAAACAATCAAACAGTTGTATATCTACCAACCCTAGGGCTGTCATCAGAGTCAAGGTATATCTGGTCAGGATGCAGGCTCCACTCTTAGGCTGTCTCTCTTAGGTGTCAGCAGTCTGGAGGTGGGATGCTGAGGCCCACAGCCCCCCTCCAGTGGGGTGCATGAGACAGGCTACTGGTATGCCATCGGTCCATGGTGGCCTTGAGGACCCTTCCTAGGGGGACAGGGACAGGGAGGGGGATGGAGACCCCTCTCAGGGTGGAGAAGGAGGAGGGACAGGGAGGGAGGGACAAGAAGGAACAGGGAGGGATGGAATGGACCAGTGGGACCCTTTGTTAATCTCAAGTCTCTGCTTTGGTATTCTCCTTCCCCCTTGATGACTCCTCATGACTGTTCATCCATGGCTATCTCTGGTTAGTTGTCTCTCTGTGGTCACATGTCCATGTAGCCTTCTCTTAATTTGGTCTGTTCCCCCAAAACTGGGACTCAGCCCCCCACTGCTCTGGGGCCTTCTAGTTGGTGTCCCTTATCTCATGTTATGGGACAGTATGTATATACTTCCTCAGTTCCCAGGCTATGTGTTCTTGTTGCGTTAAACAATCTGTCTGCCTTGAAGGTTGTGATCTCATGTTATGGCATGCCCCCCTCAATTCTCAGGCTATGTCCATCCATTGGCCTTGTTGTACTAGATAGCCCGTCTGCTTCCAGAGCTATATGGAATTCTGTGTGTGAAACCCAGGCTCTTAGAAAACCAATTAAGCCCTGCTGCCCATCTTGACCCCTTATAATGCATATATCTATACCTATAAGCCAATTTCCCAAAAAACAGGCCTTTAAATACGATTTCTAAACCAACATGCACCATAGTAGGGTTTCCCCTTCTGTGGGATTTGCCCTACTGTGCTTCCTACTGAGCTGGCTGTACAGCCCTTCCCCCTGCAAGCATCTGCCTTTGACCTGCAGAAAGTCAGAAAGAACAAAGCCCCCTGCACCACTCTCACCCTTCCCCACACCCCCAGTTTGGGGTCTCCCCATCTGTGGAGGTTAATCCCATCCCCTCTCGGCCAATCCGACTCCATAAAAGGAAGGATTGGACCTTGCCAATTGATGCAATCCCCCAGGACAGCCCAGCATATCCTGACAGAGCCCAGCACCAGCAGGCATGATGTGCCAGGCAGCTTGGTGGCTTGTGTGGGACAGCAGGGATGGATCCTTCCCTCTGTAGAGCATAACCATCCCTGCTGCCCAGCACAAGCCCCCTGGCCACAGTGTGTTTCAGAGCCCATCACCAGCAGCAGCCAGCAAGATATGCCAGGCAGTCAAAGGGGCTTATGCTAGGTCATAACCAGGTTACGGCAGGGGTTCAATCCTTCATTCTTTGGAGCCATCCCAACCAGGCAGGGACAGGGTAAATCCTCATCAGGCATGGGGCTCCCCACAGCTGGGCAGACCACAGCTTGGGAGACTGAGACTGGGGTGGGGTACTTTATTCTCCCTTTCCACCCTGCATGTCAGAGACTGAATCTTGAAAGGGGAAGTGCTGTACAGTCGGCCCAAAACTGCCCGGAGCATGCCCCCCCCACCCCCAGCTGGGAAGACCTCAGCTCAGGGGGATGAGACCAATGCAGGGGGCTTCACTGACCCTGCCCCATGGGTCACAGGCAGAAACTTACAGGCAGGGCTGTGCAGCTGGCCTGGCAGGGCAGGGACTGAGGAACCGCACCCCCCCCCCAAGGCACAGGGATCCCCCCGGCTGGTCAGACCCCAGCTAGGTGCGGGAGGGACACAACAGGGGGGATTCATTCCTCCATCCCCCCGTGGGTCAGAGGCAGAGATTTGAAGGGGGCAGGGCTGTTCACCCTGTCCTGAAATTGCAGGGTGAAGGGAGCAGAAGCCTCCATGGTGCAGGGCTCCCCACAGGTAGATAGACCTGAGCTTGTGGGGAGCCTGGGGCTTGAGCAGGGGGCTTTGTGTCCCCACCTCCCCATCCACTACCCCACAGGGCTGACAAGTGCAGGCAAGACATAGGGTTGGAGAGCAGAGGCTTTGTTGCTGTTGCTCTGTGACAGCCCAGGAGCAGGGCCAGCCAGGAAGCATCTTGCTAGACTCCATACCCTCATACTCTGGGTTCCTAGCCTCTGGGCTCTGTGCCTCACTAGACTCCATGCCCACACTGGAGCTCCTCATCTCAGCCCCCCTCACTGGGGCCACCCCCTCACTGGGGATATCCATCCTTCTCTGGGCTTCACCATTAAACTTGAAGCTCTATGTACTGCCACTACCAGGGGGGAGTTCACTACCATGCATGGCCATCAGACTGATGTTTCCCGGCCAATGCAGCAATGTAATGGGGGCGGGGAGCTTCTCCGGGTCATTCTACCCATGGCCTGCCCACCTATTTCTGGACCAGCTGCCTGCCTCCTCTCCTGCCACACCTTGTTGATATAATTAGGATGTTAATTAGGTGGGAAGCTGCCCATTTCTTGCCCCAGGCACTATCTGTGGCTCCATTCCTCCCCTACATGGCAGCCCAAGCCTCCAGGATGTTGCATGCAGCCTTGCAGTGAACTGCCCTGTTTATATAGGCACCCAGAGATCTAAAATGGCCACCACAATCAAGCACCTGCTAGCTGCTTGGCTAAGGCCTTAAAGTGGCAGGCACCAACAGTGCCCTGCCACACTCCAGCATGGACCAGTCAAGGGTAACTCAGGTCAGATCTGAGCCACCTGCCTGTTCTCACCTTCATAAGTCCACTGCAACCAGTAAGTCTCAGGCCTCTCAAAGATTTGACAGGTCTGGGCTTTCTCAATCCAAAGTTGTGCTTGTGTGCAGTAGCTGGAGGTTATTAGGCATCTCCTACCTGCCTTTCACCAGGAAGGTTCATGGTCCTGGCATTACCTGGGGCTGCCACACCACTGGCAGTCCCACTAAGCCTCCCTACCCTGGCAGAGTGAAGTTTTAGGTCATGCTCAGGACATGGAGCCTCCTCCTTCCCCATAGCTCCAGTCCATACCTCCAAGTTCATCCTGGCATGGGAGCTCAGCATTAGGGCTGTGCAAGGCTTCGGACAGAGCTTTGGATCCGGAGAAGCTTTGGACGCTTTGGCATCTGAAGCAGCATGTCTGGATTGAAGAGCTGGCCTCATTAGGCTTCCTGAAGTGGTTCGGAGCTTCTGAAGCACTTCAGAGCCACCTCAGAGCCACCTCAGAGCAGCCTTGGAGATCGGGCCATAGGGTATAATGGGGAAACAATAAAATATCTATAACTTTGTTGTTTTTTGTCCAATTTGGATGAAATTTTCAGGGATGGTAGAATCTGTAGAGAGAATGAAGAATGCCAAGCTTCAAGAATATCGGTGCAGGGTTTTGGGGGTAACTGTACCCCAAATTCCTGAAAGCAAAACACATGTCTCGTCTAGGCATTACAACATAGGGGGCTGAGAACTTCAGAGATGGTAGCCTCTGCTGAGGCCACAAAGCCTACCAAGTTTCAGGAAGATCAGTGCAGGGGTTTGGGGGAACTGCACCCCAAATTCTTGAAAGCAAAGCTCCTGTCACGTCTATGTGTTACACCACAGGGGAGTCAAAACTGAAGATCTGGTAGCTCTTGCTGAGGCCACAAAGCCTGCCAAGTTTCAAGAAGATCAGTGCAATGGGTGATACTGCGTGTGTTAAGGTGACATGGGATGACAGCTGCAGGGATGGTGGCTCCTGCTGAGGCCACGAAGCCTCCCAGCTGTCGAGGAGATTGGTGCAGGGAGGTTTGGGGGCCCTGCACCCCTAGATGCTGACAGGCAAAATTTGTGACATGGGTGCTTGTGGAACTGACTCTCTGTCTTGGGGCATGGGAGACACTACTGCAGGCCTGGCTGCTAAGCTAGTGTTACCAGTTACCAATCAATCATGATTCAGTCAGGGACCAGCTCAATACACAGGACCTAGCAAATGTAGCCAGTTAATTGTCATCAATTAGCACCTACAAAACCAGGCTAAG